GTTCGAGGTCTTGGTTTGAACTTTCAAAGCCCTACACCGTCTGGGGCCAACATGTCTTCGGGACTGCCTCTCCTGGTATGTCCCCCAAAGAGCACTGTGCTCTATGGACAATACCCTCCTGGTGGTCCCGAGCCCCAAAAACATTTGTCTAGCCTCAACCCAGGCAAGGGCCTTTTTGGGTCTGGCCCCGGCCTGGTGGAACGCTCTTCCGGATGAGACCCAGGCCCTGTGGAATTTGATGCAGTTCTGCAGGGCCTGTAAGCTATCAAGCAGCATGTGGATACCAACTCTTTCCAGAGAGCTGAGTAGTGCATATCTGTTGGCAGATTTGGGTTTTATTTCAAAGGCACTGGAATCACACCTAAGGCAGGCCTTGACAATGTGAGCCGCGCTCGTGACTAAACTGTGGCTATTGTACTTTGGTCGCATTTATGAGAAGACAAGAGTCATTAGAAAAGGCAATAGTGCTATGAAAAGTTGAAGGCGGCAGAAGGGGAAGACCCAACAGGAGACGGACTGACTCCCTCAAGGAAGCCGCAGCCCGCAGCTCGCAAGACTTGAGCAAGGCTGTTAAGGATAGGACGTTTCGGAGGTCATAAGGTCATCATAGGTCGGGAGTGACTTGACGGCACTTAACACACACGCGCCGCCCCAAAAATTTAGGAGTCAGAACCTTTTTCATCCTTCGGGGTTTTTATATTTTAATAACCACGCTTTCTAACCACCGTTGTGCAAAACCAGATCCTGAACTTTTCACAGCTGCTTGTCAATCTTTTAAGGCTGAAGCAGTAAGAGTTCCCGAGTATAAATAAGCAGGGGACAAGCCTCGTTTTCAGCACAACAACAAGCTAGCCTCGAACTCTCACCCAAATACGCCTTGTACTTCTAGTGAGAATCACCGAGAGGCGCTGACAAATCAACAACTGATGACAATACCAGGTACAACAATCAAATTTCTAGGAGTCGTGGTAACCTGGCGCCTGGGATTTGTGAGTAACTGATGAATGGTCCAATGTCCCTGGGGGACCCTGTCCAATTCCAAAGTCATCTCTGCACTAACCAACCAGCACTGTAAAGATTTATTATTGCAAACTGCCTTGAGCTCTCCGTTTTGCAGGCAAAGGTGATCTGAAAGTACTGTACGAAATAAAACTAGGAAGCGGATTTTAAATTCACAGCATACTGCCTCTGTACATGGAGGGTCCTTTAACCTTCCTAGCCAACAGCCGTCAGCCATCTCACTTCACTGAACTGGTCTCCGTCCTGCTTACCTTCAGCCTCCCCTGCTCGTGCTGCTTGTAACAGATTTTGGCATACCGGGATTCCAAGATCCTCGCTTTATATTTCTAAAACAAACAAAAAAAATCACCTTGGGCGCAAGCTAAACCCTTGCTGGGGTGATTTCTCCGAGCCCACCCTGCGGGTTAAACCCTCTGGCTCACGTTCGGTCCCGCCAGCCACCCGCCGGCCGGCTGCGACATCTCAACTCCTCTGCCCGTGCCAAATGCAGAGCGACCTCCCCGCCGTACAGATGCATTTCAAGACAGAACGCACAAAATGGCTGGCTCCCAAGACAAACGGTTTTTCCACACAATGCTATAAAAAGGACAATCGCCTAAAAAGGAAATCGGGACTTGACGGCCAGGCAGAGCGGAGAGGAAGAGGAGAGGGGGAGACGCAAAGAGGGCTACACCATTACAGCTGCCACACACACCCCCCACCCAGCTTTGAACCCTGACGCTTCCTTCGGACTGTAAGTGGCCACAATGCATTTGCTCGCGGTCTCATTCCACGCGCAACTCGCCGAGAGATGCATGACGCCACAGCTGCGCCTGTGTTTGGGGGAGGGGAACGTGGTGATCCGGGATCGAAAGAAGAGAAAGCTCAGCTTACAAGCAAATCGGATCTTCCATCCGAGGGGCAAGGGGTCCAAATTCCATCTCCATCCATTGCAACACAAAAAAAAAATCTGGACAATCTGCGCATGAATCCTCAAAGCATCGTAGAGAAGAAGCATCAGAAAACAGTTTCAGACAGAGTGGGCTCTGTTCTCAAAGGCATCAGAGGGCTGTCGTGAGCGGCTGCTGACGCCGTCTCCTTATGAGCCATTTTGGCAGGAGCTCACCGAGACGGCTCTGCTTCTCTCTCCCTTACGGCTCTTCCGAGGGGAACGGACCGAGCAAATGGATCGGAAGGGGAAACGGCAACATGATAACAGCTCTAGAGAGTGAAGCGGTCTCGTTTCTCCGGCATAAAGTCAGGGGAGGATGTGGTGAGGAGGAGGAGGAGGAGAAGGAAGAGCTTTGGCTCGAGGAAGAGGAAAATGCAGAACTGGAATGGCCGTGCTCAATTCCCGCCAGCAAAGATAAGGACTTTGGGCAGTTGGCTAAATGCAAACGGGGTCGACGCTGTTCCAAGAAGATTCCACAGGGCCACAGTTCAGGCTAGGGCCATGCCGAGAGATTTTTACCAGCGATCCTTAACATTTGAACTTATCTTTCAGCAAGTCAGACGGCAGTTCATTTGGCCCAGTATCATCTCATTTGACTGACTGTGGCTGTACAGGATCCCACGCAGACAATGGTCTTTGTCAACGCCTGCTGAGACCCTTGAAACTAGAGTGGCTGGGGATTGAACCGGGGACCGAACGGGGGACTGTCGGCATGCAAAGCTGGTGCTCTAACCTCCTCCATATTCGTTAAGTGCTTGTACACTACCTAACTCCTGCAACGGCTCAGAATGATTAGATCCTGTCTTGCAGATGAGAGGCTAGAAGAACAGTGTCTTGCCTCAAGTAATCCAAATTCAAGATCTGAACTCAAGATTCAAGACCCAACTCCTAAACTGCACAAACTCTTACACAGAGGTCAAGTGAAAAGCTTCAAGGATGACTCTCGGTTATAACCATCACCCCTCATTGACTTATGTGACAGAGTGGGGCGGAAAGGAGGTGGCAATAGGGTTCCGAACTGCTTTGGGAGGCAAGTCCGGGTTGCCGTCCTGAACATTCCCGTACACTGAAAAGCTTCCTCCAAGTCGAAAACTAGGACATCCAGTGGAAAGGTTTTCGCCTGGTCCACTTCTTGCCATGCAAGTTTCCCTATGTGGGCGCTGGCAAGCTTGAAGTCTTAGCCTGAAGTCCCCCAATCCGTTTCTCCCTCCTCGATATTACCACCACAGCCTAATGCGCACACAGACCTGGTCTCCGACTCACACCAGGGAAGAGAAGAAAGTAGAGGAAACAGATATACTCCTGTTCCAAATGGTTTTCAAAAGAATTCACATTATTCATGGGAGGGGGTAAGACTAAGAAACCTCTATAAAGCCCTTCTGGGGGAGCACGGAGTCCTCCTCCAGTGGAGGAGGCACATTCTGCGAGAGGAAAGATCGTCACGCTAGAGGAAGGCTCCACCACTAGCCGAAACAGATTCCTAGTTATCAATGCACTCTTGGGGGGGGATCATTCGCTCTTCTCCTGAACGCGCTTCCCCCATTTTAACGTCACGACAGCCCGCAGAGCCTCCCAGGGCCTTGCCGTGGTGCCACGGAAGTACCCAACCACTCCACATTAGAGAGTGCTGCAGCTGGGTTCAAATCCTCCCCCAACCACACACGTGGTGGGCAGCCCTTGGCAAATCACTCTCAAGCTCCAGGCAACCTCTGGGAGGAGAAAAAAAGCCCCTAGGCCTCTGTTTCGTTCCAGAGTTTCGTCTCCGAACTTTCGCACCGAAGCCAAATGCCTTGGGACATCGGCGTACATGGAATGCCTTCCCCTGGCCGTGGAGGAACTTGAGCTTGGTTTTACAGGGCTGCATTATTGGGCTCTCAGAGCAGAGGACGATGAACACTGGGAAAAGACAAACATTCACAGGACTTGCCCTGAGGGCAAACGAGGCTGTGAGGCACGTGAACAGGAGCTTTTATTTTTAAAAAGCCCCTCCACCGAAAATTTTGCTCGATCACAATAAAACGAAACCCTTTACAGAAGGAGTCCTCGACTGGGGCGGGAGGGAGACTATCATGGATTCCAGCACCTGAGAAAGGTTTTCAACATGTCTTCGGTCTTATTTCGTTAACCCTTGGAGACGGGCGAGGGGAGGGTGGTCCTCCGCTCCCCCGACACCTATCCCCATGGCCGAACCGCACGGCTTTCTTTTCGGAGGGAGGGACGGGAGGGAGAAGTCGGCAGAATTAAAAGACGCTGGCATTCGCTCGATGACTCGCCAGGCCATTTTAATACAATAAAAGGGAGGGGAGGCAGAGAATGGCTTGGAGACCTGTCTCTCCCCTTCCTCTTCGCCCTCCGCCCCCCCCATCCGCCTGGGTGACGCAGACTCCCTTATATAATAGCCTGCGATTTCCTAGACTGCAAGGAAGGCCTCCGCCGCCTCCCTCCACCCTCCCCTTGCTTTGTGCTCTGCATACACTCCACACACGCGCAAAAGCGACTCCAGCCCTTGGCACGGTGCCAGGCTTCTCCCCCGTCAGCTGGCTGCCTCCATTCACAGAGCAGGGTTGTAGCTGACATGAAAAGAAGGGAGGCGGGGTGGAGGAGGAAAGGGGGGGAGAGGGGAGGGGGGAGAGAGAGAGAGAGAGAGAGAAGGAGAGAGAGGGAGAGAGAGAGAAGGTTCGGGGTATTCTATCAAACTATCAGCACGCCAGAGAGACAATAGAATTTCTTTGCCATATTCCCCAAATTATCATCCTTCCCCCTCCCTCCCCCCCCACCTCAGTCTTCTCCCTCTGCAGCTAAAGACCAACAGCCGCATGAACAAAGTGGGGGGGGGGGAACCGAAAAAAAATTATACTACAAAGATTTTTCTTTCCCCCAAACGTTGAAAAACACCAAACATTCGAGAGCTCGTGGCTACTAAAAAAAACCACATTTTTTTAAAGGAAGAACGAGGTCTTGGCTATTCCCTGAAGACCCTTTTTGTTAAATATTTATATATACATAGATCTATATTTTTTAGAAAAAGACAGTCCGATGGACTACTTACAGGTAGCGTGTTCTCCCTCGCTCCTCTACTTGTCAAGAGGAGGGGAGAGACGGGCAGACGGAGGGGAAGACAGATTGCGAGCACGCGAGGGCAGGGGGGAAAGCCAGGGTTTTTTTCACAAGAAGCCCCCTCGGTGGAACATGGGCGGCCGCGGCGTGCCATCCCCCTCCAGGGACCTGCCGGAGCCCAGTTGCAGAACGGGCACGTCCCTGCCAATCATCTGTGGTGCCGTTATATTAAACAAAAGAAAAGGGGGGATGCTTACTTTTACCCATGATGCCTAGCGGGGGCAGGGGAGGAAAAAAAATAAAACCAGTTGCAGCCGGTTTGTAACCTCAGGACATGGAATTATCGCTTAATATTTTTTTTTTTAAGTTGGCTGTGGCATGAGAGCCAGTTAACTGCCCCCCCCCCCCCCCTTCCTTCCCCATGACTTCCATCATCAGCTCTGCCGGGCTGGCTCTCTTGCCCCCCCCCCCCTTAAAGCATATGCTGGCACCTTGCCAAACTTTGCCTTTCATTCATGAGCGTGGGCTTCTCCTCCAAGGGTCCTTTTTAACTGCTTAGCTGCCGGAAATACAGAACCGTATCGCCGGGCGCCGGTTTTATTTATTTGCCTAAAAAAGCACGATTCAAATCAAGTAAGGTCTTCGCCGTGGGGTGGGGGGCGTCCCTGTAGAGAAATCGAAAATTAAGGCGAGGGCCGGTAGCCTCTTGCTTCGCCTTCTTTGAAAGGTACGAGATCGAGTTATGGACGATGCACGCTGGGGATAGGGGAGAGCCCGAAATCTTCCCGCCTGACACGACGAGTGTAGAAATGTTCGCTCCCACTGGGCGCCAGCTATGTTGCAATTACTTGCTTGGGCCCTTCCAGTCCAAAATGCACCTCTGGTCTCAGAACCCCACCTTCCCCAGCAGACTTACCCATCACAAGCCACCTTCCTAGCCAAGGAAGACTTCCCACCGAAGTTACCCAAATACTAAGGGTTAGGGGCCATTTGTGAAGATGCCTTTATACAGAAGTCAAGACATGGGTCCACCTAGCTAAGTACTGTCTATTGCTATGACCAACAGCTCCGCTCCAGCATCTCAGACATCCCTAACATCTGCTACCAGAGACCCTTTAGCTGGAGATGCCTGGTACTTCCTGAAAGGAAAGACCACGCTCTATCGCTGAAAGGCACTCAGATTTTACTAAGAGGCCGCCACATTACAGAGTGAAACAGTGTGGACGCCATACTTGGGTAACATTCATGGATCGACTTTTCTATGCCCCCCCCCAGTTTAGTTTCGGTGAGTCTGCACATTTGCACACGACCCTGCTGGCCCCACAAGGCCCTCTGTTAGGCTCCTCCCATCCACTACCAATACCATTAGAACAAACTAGTTTCAATAGCATCTCCCCTTGAATGTGAATGGAGCAAGCCAACCAGGAAATCTGATCTACATACTCTTATTGGATTGGTCGAGCTCGCCACAGCTTGGGTGTGCGTGGGCCATTCACCGGGGCAGGAGCAGAGGAGCTTAGTTTCCTCCCCCTCCCTGTGTTCTTGAGGGCACTTCCGGTATAACATCGAATAAATCCAGGTGGGTAGCCATGTTAGTCCTTAGCAGTAGAAAAGAGCAAGAGCCCAGCAGCACCTTAAAGATGAACAAAAGTTGTGGCAGGGTGGGAGGTTCCGGGAGTCACGGCTCACTTCTTCAGATAGCTCAAGATGGGTAGCCACGTTAGTCTGTCTGCAGCAGTCGAAAAGAGCCAAGAGTCCAGGAGCACCTTAAAGACTAGCAAAATTGTTGGCAGGGTGTGAGGTTCCGGGAGTCATGGCTCACTTCTTCAGATAGAGCAAGATGGGTAGCCATGTTAGTCTGTCTGCAGCAGTCGAAAAGAGCCAAGAGTCCAGGAGCACCTTAAAGACTAGCAAAATTGTTGGCAGTGTGTGAGGTTCCAGGAGTCACTGCTCATTTCTTCAGATAGAGCAAGATGGGTAGCCATGTTAGTCTGTCTGCAGCAGTCGAAAAGAGCCAAGAGTCCAGGAGCACCTTAAAGACTAGCAAAATTGTTTGCAGGGTGTGAGGTTCCGGGAGTCACTGCTCACTTCTTCAGATAGATCAAGATGGGTAGCCATGTTAATCTGTCTGTAGCAGTAGAAAAGAGCCAAGAGTCCAGGAGCACCTTAAAGACTAGCAAAATGTGTGGCAGGAGAGGAGCTTTCGGGAGTCACTGCTCACTTCTTCAGATACTGAACATATTGGCACTCTAATTCCTAGGGCCGACCCCAGGAAATTTTGACCACTGTCGTGTTTCGTCAAAGCCAAGCTTCTCACGCATCTGCAAGCAGCCGTGACTGATGACAGCTTTCCAAAACGGCTGAAAGTTCAAGGTGCCAGTCTCTCTAGTCGCCTTCTTATCTTTACGTACGGGAGAGCGAGTCCACGGTTATGTCCTTCAAGGGCCGGTACAAAATACGTCGGGCCTAAGCCACACTCAAAGGCTGCGCTTCCATTAATTCCCCGACTCCTCTTCAAAAACCCGCCCTGACATATTTTGATATTTTATGAGTGAAACGCCCATCGAGATGGGCACAGGCGGAGGAAGGGAAGGGCTTTATATTGGAAACAGGGAGGATATGGAGCGTCTCTCATGTTGCTCTACCCCTTGGAGAACCTAATGCCTGAGCAAGTCCCTTCCATCACAAACAGAAATTACGTAAGAGCTAGATTCAAATCCAGCAGCAACTTAAAGACCAACCAGACTTTCAGGGTATAAGTTTTCCAAAGTCAACGCTTTCTTGGTCACACAGAGACAGCACGAATGAAGAACTGTCACTCGTCTTTGCTAGATCGAGACGGGTAGCCGTATTAGTCTGTCTGTAGCGGCAGAAAAGAGCAAGAGGGCAGTAGCTAGAGATGTAAAATTTCCAGAAATTTTGAAGCTCGGAAAAAAACCCGTTTTTTTTCCGTTTTTTTCGGGGGGAAACGGAAATTTTCGGAAAATTTTTTAAAATGCTACATTAGCATTTCTTTTGTCTTTTCTAGATTGAAAGTCATTCTGTTACTTTAGAAACATAAAATATGACTATGGACATTTTTACTTGGCATGAAATTATCACAACTAGCATATTAAAATATAAAAACAGAATACCCATCCACATGCAAAAACAAAACTGAAACCTTTTTATTTTCTTCTGACAATAGCACCTCCTAAAGGAAGAAATGCAACTTGTTTTTGCATTGGAGAGTTCAGTTTGTAACCTAGGACTTGCTTGTCCTCAGTGCACAGAAATTAGATCGATCTGCTATTTGGAAAATATTTGAACACCTTGTCTTAAAATATTTTATTCATCATGTTAAAATAAAACGTTCCATAGTCCATTTATTTTATTTTATTTCATTTTTTCAATTTTTCCAATTTTTTGGAAAAAAACAAAAAAGGCTTCAGGAAAAAAACGGGGAAAAACTGGTTTTTTTCCGAATTTTTCCGGTTTTTTTCCGGGCCTTCACATCTCTAGCAGTAGCACATTCAAGACTAGGAAAGACTAACGAGAATAACGAAATCTGTGGTCTGACTTACGAAAAGCTCCTCCCCCGCCGCAATTTTTTTTAGTCTTTCAGGTGTTACAGGACTCTTGCTCTTGTCTTTGCTAGGGCAGCTTTCCTCACGCCAGGAACTACCATCTATCCCAGGGATGTGGCTATTGCTAGAGGTAAGAGAGAGTTGGCCGGTTGTGACCTCACCCCCACCCTACAGCCAGCGTGGTGTCGTAGTTAAGAGCGGCGGACTCTGACCTGGAGAACTGGGTTTGATTCCCTGTTCCTCCTCCCCGTGGAGCCAGCTGGGTGACCCTGGGCCAGTCCCAGTTCTCTCCGAACTCTCTCGGCCCCGCCTGCCTCAGAAGGTTGTGGGGGAGAGGAAGGGAAGGCGATTGCGAGCCGCTTTGAGACTCCTCGGGGTAGAGAAGAGTGGGGTATAAAAACCAACTCTCCGTCTCCACAAAGCTGTCCCTGTGGCTCAGTGGTAAAAATGTCTGCTTTGCAAGTTGGAGGTCCCCAGTTCAATCCCGGTTAAAAGGACCCGGCAGCAGGTGATGGGAAAAGACGTTCGCCTGAGACCCTGGAGAGCTGCTGCCAGTCTGAGTAGACAAGACTGACCTTGATGGACCGAGGGTCTGATTCAGCACAAGGCAGCGACATGTGATTGTTCCATCCAGGGGAGGGTCTGTGGCCCTTGCAAGTGCCCTGACCTGGACGGCCCAGGCTAGCCCAATCTCATCAGATCTCAGAAGCTAAGCAGGGTCGGCCCTGGTCAGTACTTGGATGGGAGACCACCAAGGAAGTCCAGGGTCAAGACATAAGAACATAAGAGAAGCCAGTGTTGGATCAGGCCAATGGCCCACCCAGTCCAACGCTCTGGCACACAGTGGCCAGAAATACCAGGTGCCATCAGGAGCTCCAGCAGCGGGGTCAGGACACTAGAAGTCCTCCTATTCCTGCCCCCAACCAAAGGACCAAGAAGACAGAGCATCCCTTGCCCCAGACTGAGAGTTCCTATCTATACCTTGTGGCTAACAGCCACTGATGGGCCTCTGCTCCATATAAGAACATAAGAGAAGCCAATGTTGGATCAGGCCAATGGCCAATCTAGTCCAACACACTGTGTCACACAGTGGCCAAAAATACCAGGTGCCATCAGGAGGTCCAGCAGCGGGGCCAGGACGCTAGAAGCCCTCCCACTGTTGCCCCCCCCCAAGCACCAAGAAGACAGAGCATCACTTGCCCCAGACTGAGAGTTCCTACCTATACCTTGTGGCTAACAGCCACTGATGGGCCTCTGCTCCATATAAGAACATAAGAGAAGCCAATGTTGGATCAGGCCAATGGCCAATCTAGTCCAACACACTGTGTCACACAGTGGCCAAAAATACCAGGTGCCATCAGGAGGTCCAGCAGCGGGGCCAGGATGCAAGAAGCCCTCCCACTGTTGCCCCCCCTCCCAAGCACCAAGAAGACAGAGCATCCCTTGCCCCAGACTGAGAGTTCCTATCTATACCTTGTGGCTAACAGCCACTGATGGGCCTCTGCTCCATATGTTTATCTAATTCCCTCCTGTAGCCATCCATGCTTGTAGCTGCCACCACCTCCTGTGGCAGTGAATTCCATGTGTCAATCACTCTTCGGGTGAAGAAGACACAGAGGCCAGCAACAGCAAACCATCT